CTCATGTTAATTGAGTTATCAGGGCCATGAGCCAATCATTATAAATGTATGATCTTCAGAGCGTCACTTCCTGACTTCTCTTGAGATCATCAATTTTGGTAAAAAATGCGATAAGCTTTGAAAAAAATTATTCAGTAATGCCAGAGCAACGCGCGAAAACTGTTTTGTTCTGTGGCACTACATCTGGTTTGTAGAGTATAGAATTTCTACTAAATTTTAAAAGCTGACGAATTTGCAGGACGATGATATAGGAAAATAAAAATAATAATTTCAATGATCGGGAGCAAACTTCCTAAGAAAACCATTAATTGAACAATAGTAAGATTTTTGAAAATATTTTCTCCGGAACACCCTAAATAATAAATATTGTAATATGATCAGCCATTCTGAAATTAATTTTTAGATATTCAGATCGTAGTTGTCGCTGATACTCTCATTTGCTTGTTTATGTTTAGCCCAGTTCCCTGATATTCATAAATTTGTTACGAATTTTTTTCTGGAAACGTAATCAGGTCACGTCAAGTTTATGGAATGTCTGACTCCCAACGAAGTTTCTAGACTCGCATCCTTTGCTTGCTAGAGCTCGAGGTGGTACCGTACAATGTCATATATATAGGCACATAGGCAATATCACAGAATGTTAATAAAAATCGTCTGGTAATCTTGAAATTTAACCGGCACCCTTTTGTTCAATTAGCATGAATAACGATTGCTCACAAGCACTTAATTAGCTACTTTTAGAAAAAAATATTTCACTTTATCACCCCAATTCTGAAAGAAGTTCATAAATTTTGACGTCCTTGAATAAGACCCTGCAGTTGAAACATTTTTCTCTCCAGGTATCATTTAAAATAAGTACACTTGGCTCCATTAGTGAAAATCTGCTTGCTACGCAACAAAGGAGTTCAAGAAATTTGAAACTTTTTTGTAGGCACAAAATTTACCATCCTACAAATTTTCTCGATTTGCAAATAAAGATTTTCAATTGAAATTCAAATTATGAATGTATTTGCATCACCTTTATTAATCCAAAGAATCGTTTATTTAAAGTATAAACTTTGCCCAAACACAGGAGTTAGAAAATCTCCATTTCTTCTATGAATCTACAAAGCCAAAGTTCAGTTCTGTTCAAGGACCAAACGCGCAGTCTTCTCAATTTAGCTCTGAATACAAAATCATACATCTCATAAGCTATTGTGTAACTAGTTGAAATGTGTAACTAATGCGTAACTAACTCAAATTAAACAGATTTTAGTATAATTTTATTTTTAAATCCGGCGTTTTACGAATTTTCCTTCCTCTTTGAATTACGAGACACTTGCTCCAGTGCAATGCACCCAGTTCATCATAGGTTTAGAATGCACTTTCTATTTGAAATTCTGATTTAGTTTCATCCAGAATCTTCACTCTCACGTACGGCATATAGTTCATTACCTGGCAAGTTACTGGGCTGCATGGTGGCGGCCACTCCAGCGTACGTGGCGTCGGGCTAGTGAAGGAGCGGCAACGCGTCTCTGGTGCTGTCGCTTATCTCTACGTGAATCTCAGTATAAAATAAATATCAGTGCCATTTTAATGTAAGATAAACCTGCAACAGAACGTAAAATCCTAGCCATTAACAATTACTCACTGATTTTTTGTTTTTTTTTCGCTTCCTGATTTTTGGTGCGCTGTATTTTCGAATTTAATCAAATTTAATTAAAATTCAAATTATTGATTGAAAATAATGTTCGTTTAGATGGATTCGCTGGTTCAAGACTAAAATTCTTACATAAAAATAGACGGAATTTATAAGTAAATAATAATAAAAATATTATTTCCTGGATCAGAAAACTTGCTCAAAGTTATATTCTTAAGTATAATTAATATTTCGCACTGAATTTCTATTAATTATCTCCTATTATTATTTCATTAATCACATGAAATTTAGAAGCGTCATTCAATGGAGATGGAAAATTTCTTGCTTCGTCTGGAAATTTCCATTCTTCAGTCGCACAGTTTCACGAAATTTTTATTTTACGAGATGCTTGTTACATGGGTGAAAATTCCTACCACATTTCAATTACCTATAATTATCAAACGAATCATTAACGCATGAAGTTGGATTGCACCTTTCAAATTCTAATAAGCATTCTGACGTAAGTTTCGTTAATCAGCAAAATTCAACTTCGTTCTAAAATTGGACAAGCCAGTTTGCTATTGCCAGTTATTTCCCATCCTATTTCGACAGGATTTTACGCCTCTAAACTTCATTCCTAAATAATACCGTTAGCTGAAAAACCAACTAAACTGTGGCACCAAGCATCGAAGATTATTACTATTCCAGACGCGCAGAAATATCCCTACATAAGTTCCATAATTTACACATTTTATCACGATTCTGGATAATCTGAGAGTTGCCAACGTTTCTTTTAAGTGCGTTATAATCTCGTAGATACATATAAGTGCGTTAGGCCTTTGTTCGACCTCACTCCATCAGCATTCGCCAAGCACTACAGTTCCTGAGTAACAGAAATAGCAACGGTCTCATCAGTGCACGTAACTCATTTCTCACGAGTGTATTATTCCAGTCTAGTGGAATTTCAGTTATTTTGCAAAAGAAGAAATTATTTCTTCAATAAAGGTGAGACTCCATATGGCTCCTCGTATTCACTTTGCCGACGAATTTTCCTTTTCTGAACTCCCTGAGTCAGTCTCCCACGTGTCTCTGGACGACTTGGAGCGAAAACCAAGTGATTTTTATCCGGATGACAACTCAAAATGTAATTCTCTAAGCTGCAATCTTGTACACGAAAACTTTTTCTGCAAAGACTGGCAGTACGAAGGACGTAAATTGATTGATGCTACAGAAAAACTGAACACTGGAAAGCCCGACTACCGCCTAGGTTTCTTGTTCTATCAAATGGCATTAAAACATGGCATTCAAGCCGAACTCGTGATAGATGAGAGCATGGACCTGCAGACTTATTTGGAAGTAAGGAAGCTCAACTTGCCTGTGGTCATCAAGAGTTCAACTGCTGGAAGTCCCTCGGCCAAGAAGAATATCTCGAGAAAGAAACAAAATTCAACCAAGTGGTCGTCTTTCTTGCGCTTACTAATGTAAGAGATTTGGAAAATTACTGTTATGGGAATGGCATAGTTAGACTGACGTCGTCATTTTTCATTTTGAGTTGAAATCGAGATGTGGACTTTCTGAATCAGAGACGTTTTCATATACATTCTAATTCGTTTGCGTGATTAGGGGCATTGGTGAATGCGTTGCCATTTCGTGTAGTGTTCAGACTTTGTCGTTGTAATACTGCTGTGTTGTGATAAAGACTTCCTTTTGGACATATACTTATTTTCAATTTTGAATTTGTTTTTAACTCATCAACGAAGTTGAAATACCAGAATGAGTTCATGTGAAATTTGTTGCCTGTTTCGTGGACTTGATCGTGACTTCGAGTAAGAAAATGTTTGTTTCATGTAATCATTATTAGGGATAAGTAGACAATCTTTCAACAATGTACGATTGTATTCCAGTGGAAATGTTAGTCTGAATTTTAATTGTGAGAGAGTGAAGCTTGCTGTGAACTTGTAATCGTTGCAGTACACATTTGCTAACATTTTGCCTCTTTGAAACTAAATAGGTGAATTTCTTACCTAATCCTGCTAGTACTCCGAATGACAATCTGTTCCAAAATAGTATTAATATTTTGCGAGTTTTGATCGATACATTTGTTCCTTATTAGTAATGGTTAATTGGAGTAATAAGAATAATTTTCACTGCGTTGAATGAAAAGATTCTATTTTGTTTTTCTCAGTAGAAAAAATGTGATTCATTCTCAATGAGGGGAAATACCAATTCATATTGCACACTTCCTTTGCATGCCTTCAATGCGTCACCGTTGCCCAGGAGTTATTTTATCAGTTATTATGTATCTATGGAGTCAAGTATTAACAAACCCACCTCATTATTTTTGCCAACTTGTGCCACCGTTTCATTCCAAGAAAGCTATATAAAATATTACACAACGTTTCATCGAGAAAAACTGAAGGCTCATATCGTAAAATTTATTCACAATTTTATACGTCTCTCGAGTTGTTGGAGTCATGATTTTCATAGGGGCGGAGTAACCTATTACCTTATTATTGTGCATTTACATAATGTAGAGGAAATGAAACGTGTTTATTACGACGCCGCGATTTCCATCAGATGGAATACATGACTTTGAATAGACTGTATTATGTTGCCTTGATTTGTATTGAGAACGGTTTCACCAGCAAGTAATACTCTTAAATCACAATAAGCTAATGATGAAATTCAGTTCATTTCATAAATTTTAATTATCATTTCTTGTGTTATAACCACACTGGATAATTCCAGTGTGGAAATTCGACTTCTTCTGTAGGAAATTCGACTGACTGGTTTTTGTCTATGACTGTGCTCATTCCGAGTTACGTAGCTTTATTATAAGACTATAATCACCATGTAAATGGTTTCAAATCTCTGAGTAATTAGTTACGTATCTTAACACTGCTGCGTTTTTTATTTTCCTTTATTTACTATTGTGATTGTGACCACTAAGATAATTCTCTCCACCTCCAAGATTTTGTAGATTTGTAGATCAAACAAACAAAAATATATGGCACTCTAAAAAATATATTTTCCTGCTACGTATATATCTGATATCTAGTACGTAAGTACGTTTGATCGGAATGTAGCAAACACCTTTGGACGCGAAAAATAGTAAAACTCATAGAAATATAGGAGGTGGATAAAAGTTATACAGTTGGATAACTCGATGTCTAAGAAATAAACTTGAAGCTTGTCAAGAACATAGAAGCAGAATTTGCCGTCCTTCGTTAATTAATACTTATTACGAATTAAAATGAGGTACTGGAATATACATTTTTTGGCGACTGTCATCGTTGAACACGATCTTCAAGGTTCGAAACGATTCCTATAATGTAAAAAGTTGATGATTATTAAAGAAAACAGGAGCAAATAAAAAATCGCGAATCGTTAAGAATTTTTCAAAGGAGTTGCAAGAAATTGAATGCCCATTGAGTCATGTGTGAGCTTCATCAGACTGTGTCTGCGATACACTAGTGCGGCATTGAACAATTTCTGAAAACATGAATGCAACAAAGCTAAAACAGCAACTTTCTCTGCTTCAGCTTTAAATAAAATCTAAATGGTTTACAGTACATTAATTTATTCATTGAGTGAACCATTTAGTGAATCATTTATTGAGCGAATAAATGCTATCGAGGAATAATTTTTTCATGGCCTGCTAATTCAAGCGGATGGCAGTACGAGAATGTTCAATATTGTTTTACTTTAAAAAAAAACAGAAGCTTTTCTACTCCGAGATTAAGGAACAGTCCGACTCTAAGAAATATTCCGAGATAACGAAACTTTCCGAGATTAAGGGAAAGTCCGAGATTAAGGGAAAGTCCGAGATTAAGCAGCAGTCAAAGATTACAAGCAGCTTGAAAAAGGGAAGTCACCGCTGAATGGTAGCGAATTCTCGCAACGAGTAACCTTACAAAGAACCCCTGCAACAACGCACCCACGATCCTTATACATTATATCAATTTTACCTTACTTTACTATCAAGTACTTTGAATAATTAGATCTGACAACATTATAGGTTTAATACTTAGACGTCGCGACCCTAACTGCAAGTGTTCAGCAATACCGTACAAACAGCAAGTGAGTGAGAATGTTAAATTAATTTATAATTAAAATCACCTACCGCTGTTGCATCTATTTAATTTTAAATGGTTATATCGTGTCTAATCGTCTCTTTGTGAGTTTCTAGTTGAACTTTTTCCGGTTCGACGCGTTAGAGTTTTGGGATCCGATGAAATTATCTTCAAAAATAACGCTCGGATTTTCTTGATTTGAAATTTTTTCAAAATAAATACATTTATGTATAACACTGAACTAGCATTGGCCTTTTTAATCAAATTATTCACGAAATACTTCGGATAATAACATAGAAATCGACAAATATCATTATGCCAACGAGAATAATGGTTTGACGACCAAGGTTTTTATAAAAACCATCATAATTAATCCATAGTAGCGTTGGTAACCTCTGTTTTTACTTACATTTATTATTTTATACGATTAACCAAAAATAAATTCCAAGTGGATTAGAATCTAAAAATGCATCTACGAAAAATAATCTATTAAAAAAGATTCATTAAAAGCATTTTCTATCATTAAAAGCAAAATCTATCAAAATCTATCTGCATTCCATTTATCTTCATGTCATAATTAAATTCACGATATTATTTCCTAGCGCTGTTCAATCGTGGTCGAAGTAGTAAGAGTAGCAGGAAGAGTAGAGGGTGTATTAATGGGAGTGGCTGTAGTAAGAGTAGCAGGAAGCGTAGAGGGTGTATTAATTGGAGTGGCTGCAGTAGTAAGAGTAGCAGGAAGTGTAGAAGGGACATTAATGGGAGTGGCTGCAGTAGTAAGAGTAGCAGGAAGAGTAGAGGGTGTATTAATGGGAGTGGCTGCAGTAGTAAGAGTAGCAGGAAGAGTAGAGGGTGTATTAATGGTAGTAGCTGCAGTAGAAAGAGTTGCAGGAAGTGTAGCAGGAGTGTTAATAGGAGTGTGTGCAGTAGTAAGAGTAGCAGGAAGTGCAGAGGGTGTTTTAATGGGAGTGGCTGCAGTGGAAAGAGTAGCAGGAAGTGTAGAAGGAACGTTTTTGGGAGTGCGTGCAGTGGAAAGAGTAGCAGGAAGTGTAGAAAGAACGTTAATGGGAGTGGCTGCAGTGGTTAGAGTTGCAGGAAGTGTTGTAGGCGTATTAATGGGAGTGGATGCCGTGCTAAGAGTAGCAGGAATTGTGGAAGGAACTATAATGGGAGTGGCTGCAGTAGTAAGAGTAGCAGGAAGTGTAGCAGCCGAGTTAATGGGAGTGACTGCAGTAGTAAGTGTAGCAGGAAGTGTAGAGGGAACGTTAATGGGAGTGGCTGCAGTGGTCAGAGTTGCTGGAAGTGTAGCAGGTGTGTTAATGCTAGTGGATGCCGTGCTAAGAGTAGCAGGAAGTGTAGAAGGAACGTTAATGGGAGTGGCTGCAGTAGTAAGAGTAGCAGGAAGTGTAGAAGGAACGTTAATGGGAGTGGCTGCAGTAGTTAGAGTAGCAGGAAGTGTAGAAGGAACATTAGTAGGAGTGGTTGGTGTACTAAGAGTAGCAGGGAGAGTGGACAATGTTCCAAAATTGCTTGACGAAGAAGAATGTGATGGTTCAGTAGAAGCCGTTATAGATACTGTTGGTTTATCAGCAAAATTGGTGATTGTGGGGGAACTGCTCGAAAAATTAGTTGAACCAGTGGTGACCAAAGTAGTAGCAGGCGTTACCGTGGTAGTGTTGGAATCAGTGGCGCTTTCCTTTACGTTACTGAGTTCCGGGACGCGATTAGTTCCGGACTTCTTCCGGTTTCTCTTCCTCTTCCTTTCCTGTCTCGCAGCTCCCACTTGTTCTTCATGCCTATCCATTCTCTTCACTCGCATGAGAGCATCCAGCACGCCCTGCACACAATGGTAATTTAGTGGACGCAAATTCGGACAAATTCCACAGTCATGGCGGCCCCTGGTGGGAGCAGGGATGCTGAAAAATATATGGGCGATGGACATGAAATGGACAACAACAACAATTTAGATCTGCGATACCTGTTGCTTGCAGGTGCCAACGTATACATCATAATTCATTAAAAACCTTCTTCACGAGGACGCTTTATGAAAGATTGCAATATGTTACTCGTCTTTCGCATGCTCTCAGACGGAGGGCTTCAGACTCACGTACTGTAGTTTGTGCTGAGATACTCCAGACCCTGTTGGTTTGCCCTGAAGGGCTTTAAACTCATGTTGTTTTGCGCTGAAATGCTTTAAACTTACATGGTGTGGGCTGAAAGACTTCAAACTGAAGTGGTTTGCACTGAAGTGCCTTAGACTCACGTGTTTCATGCTGATGGGCTTCAGGCTGCTGAAAGAAGCGCCGATGCTCTGTTCGTTGACTGGCTCCACTTGATCTCCGTTCAATCTTCTATCACGAATACGAAAGTCTTGTTAATCATTAGGAATAGATTTTTATTCAAAATCAGTACAATAAATTATTCAGAATAAAATTGTTAACAGCTATCAATTCTGTAACATGGCACAAGTTATTTAGGTTTGGGAGACAAACCTTTATGATTACTTAATTTTACTGTAATTTAAGATCGATGTATATATTCCAGTTATCAAAATATTTTTCCTACTAATAACTTTCACTCAAGCGTATTCAGAAGTGAATATAATGTGAATTGTATTGACGCGACCGACAGAAACACTTATTATTTTCAAAAGAGTATTTACTCATGTAGAACTTATTTTCTATAATTCTATCACCGTCCTGGGTACCTCTCGACATTATTCAGGGTGTCCTAGAAGAAACAAGCGTTTATGACTTAGCTATTTATCAGTTTTGAAATATATATATTTAATTCACTTATTCAATCAGCCATTAATTAGAAACAAAGGTTTTAAACTAATAATTATGATGGGTTGTTCGCATGTTTGCTGCAAGATCGGTCTGAGCACTATATTTTCTTAGGATATATTTGTAAGAATAGTATTATTAACGTTTATTTATCCAATTTTAGCGAAAAGTTTCCCATTTCAATTTACTAAAATTGTTTAAATTATAATAAAAATTCATTTTATTCTAATACATTTGTAAACATCCTTTTAATTAATCCAATGCACGTGTGAAAACTCTCAATTGAAGATATTTCTACAGAAGAACAAGAGTTTACTTATTAGAATTAAATTACCTATAAATCGGGTCTTCCTCCTTAACGAATATTCCGACGTCATTCCTGCCATCCTGAAATGGTTCCTCCTTCGACAGCGGCTGCAAGGATAGGAAAACAAATTTTTAAAAATCAATAAACACATCTGAAAAAAGACTCTAAAAATTAAATGAAAATTGTAAAACTTTTAAAGTTTTATCTAAGACTTTGTTTGAACAAATTTTTAAAAGAAGGTTGTTCTTTTTTGTACTCCGTCAACACATGAGAAGTCCAGCTTTCTGATAAACGAGCAACACTTCAGAGTAAATCCTCTGTTTAATTTCTTGTTTTTATGTTGCATTCTAGTAATTTTTGAGTGAATGCGGTATAATTATCATTTCTGTGGCTATTTATATCGTTTTTGCGCAGGCAGAAATGTCTTAAGGTTGGCCCAACAATGAAACAGCAAAACGGCAGAAATGTCTTAAGGTTGGCCCAACAATGAGACAGCAAGACGGCAGAAATGTCTTAAGGTTGGCCCAACAATGAGACAGCAAGACACAACCGTTATCTTGACCGCTGCTGGTCTGGTGGAGCCTAATGCGCCCGAGCCCTTATAGGGGGGCTAGCTCCAGGGGTCACCGACCGGCCAAAACTCAACTTTGATATTCAATTTATTCGGTCAAATTCATTTTATGCCAAGAAGGATAATGTAGAATTAATTCTCTATTTTTGCAAACGCGTAAGAATATAATATGGGAAATAAGGCCTGAAGTTCAGATTTCATGACATTGAACTAAGCAAGCTATGTTTTGGATAGCAAATTTGTGAGAAGAAATTTTTCGGTCTTCTCGCTTCAAGCTTAAAAACTGAAATTTTGAATGTTTAAAAAAATTCTCGAAAATCAAGCAACTAAATGTTCATGCTTAAGAGAATTTTTATTTCTGAATAATTAATGCCATTATCAAAAAATTCAGATAAAACTTAGTTGTGAATATTTACATCATGTTTCTCATCAGTCCAATTTTTTATTCAGAAGTTTGCTGGTCATAATACAATTTTCAAAGCCCATTTACACACAATTTTTGTACGTGAATTTATAAGAAGAAAATGCAAATACGCATCAATCCTTTATGGAAAGTCCCCTTCGTACACTGCTAAAAATAATACTATCTCAATTCATTATGTATCTTCTCATTATTAATAAAAGCGTTGCTAATTTAAATTAAAATCATTGCTAATTATCTCGGGATAAACAAGACTGACCTGCAGCGGCCCAGCCCCCACGCTCGCCACCAGCAGGCACAGCGTCAGCGATACTTCCATCTTACGAAGCCTTCACGCCACCACAGTTAGTCTTTACTTCCCTCCTGCTATATTATGCGTACAGGTGCTTAGCTCTAGTCAACTTTCTGAAAAAAAATTTCATTATGTATTAAAAAACATTTTCATTAGATATTAAAAACATTTTCATTAGATATGAAAAAAATATGTTCATTATGTATTAACAATCATTTTCATTGGATATTAAAAACATTTGCATTGGATATTAAAAATAAGTTCATTAGAAATTAAAAATTATTTTCATTTGACATTAAAAATATGTTCATGAGATATTAAAAAATATTTTCATGAGATCCCATGTGTGTTTGCAAATATTTTATACGAATCGAATCTATGAGGAAATTATGAATAAATTGAACGAGAAATTAACGCATTGCTTTGAATGAGCAACATCCCCCAGTGAATAGACTTTACACTAACTAATTCGTTTAATTAAGTTTCCCTAGACGTAAACCTCGAAAAAGCGGCTGAGTTCTAAAAAAATCATTGAATGATATATTGTTCTGATGATATCCTCTACTGAGTTGAGTGAGTGACCGTGAGAGAGCGAATAGCTGGCAAGCCAGAGTCATACCAATGCATAATTATTGCTCCTAAATCCCATCAACAAAAATACATGATCACTAAAATCAATGATTAATGATGAAATATTACTTTGTATAGTAACGGTTATAGCCTTTATTATTATTATTATTACTATTATTATTAATAGAAATTAAAAGTTAATCGTGATGATGACGAACTATCGTCTCCAAAAGTGCCCATCGTCTGAATTTTCAATTAATACATCAACGTCGAAATTGGCTGGCATCAAATCACTATAATAGCCTGAGCCATGAGAGGTTTTCTAACAGCTACGAGCACACGTATGAATTAAGTTTTCAGGCATGCAAATCTACTTCTTTTGTGATAAAATTTGGCAGACACTATACCTCGGGGTTGTAATGAAGTTGAAGTATAATAAATAAGTCAAGAAATTTAAAGCAAAGATAATATTAAGTAAATTCTTCATATTTAAATTGAAATATTGAGTATTTAAATAAAAATATTATAAATTTACTTAACATTTGCTTCGCATTTACATTATTATTTAATTTGCGGTCTAAGCTAACTAATAAGGCAAAACTAAGTCAGGCTATGCCAGAAGACGGCTTTTTTTCACGTAATCCTATAACAAGTAACTAAGAGGAATTCTTAACTTATGAATTTTTCGTTATCTTGGGTCCATTCGAGCCTCAACTTCAGTTTCCTCACTATTGCGATCAGCTTTAATAATAATTTCGCTACATGATTTCAATGTTCCAATAATAACCGGCAAAGAATTCATTATTTTACATCTGTCCATCAATTGATTTATCTAGAAAAAAACGCAAATCATGGCTCCAGGAGCTATTCAATTGCTTCGGTAATTAATTAAAAATTTCATTTATTTGGCTAAGAGCTCTGCATCAAACCTCTCGCTCCTCTCCAAACAATTTATAAGTTAAAACAACGGTTATATTTTTTACGGACTTATTTAGTGGGGATAAATTTCCGAGGCTCTAGCAACCTTGTTCCTCTGCCGTGCACTGCCGCAACTGCACTGCTTGAGCGTCGCATTTGGCAAGTCTTCTAAACCGACCATAAATAAATTTTCCGTTCATTTTCAGCGCACTCGAACGGAGGGGCTTGGCTGCAATATCCTAGACTCACTAACAGGTTTGACCAGTCGGCCAGCATACTCGGCTCTTCGGGCATCGGCGAAATTTTTTGTTTGTTTTGTTTAGTCTTCGGGCATCGGCGAAATTTTTTGTCTGTTTTGTTTAGTCTTCGGGCAGCGGCGAAATTTTTTGTCTGTTCTGACCCACCAATAAATTTTCTGCCAGCAAATGTGATAAGAGATAACGGAATAATCCGGCCGGCAGTGTGGTTCATAAATAAGTCAATATTGTGAAATAATATATAGGTACAATTGAATCCCCCACAACTTTGGCAACTGGTTCATATTTTTGTTTGTTTAAATTTTTTCGCGTCATGGCTTCCATTCGCAAATTGATTTTTTATTACAGTAACTTTTAAATGGAAAGTAATGTGCACAGACTTGCCTGTCGTTGAATTTGTTTCAGTCCTAGCCGATTCCGACAAGAAACTGGCGCACAGAGCTGGGATCGAACCCGCGCCTTTCTGCTCCAATCTCGGTACTCTGAACTGTAACCACTGGGCCACCCTGCAATATCAATAATCGTTCAACCATTAAATCCACATTACACGCTGGAACTACCAGCGACTCTGCCAACTTCCAACTCGTCAAGCGAGATGCCTGCTGTGCACGTGAAAAGTTCTCTAAATCTTAATTAAAATGATTAAACTTACAAACCATTATTTAAATTTTTGCATTTCCTTTCCATTCATCATTAGCTCTGATTGTACGTCTATTCCTTAATTTAAATTCATGCACTTCCGTACCTTAATCACGATAATATCACTTTCAAAAGTCAAGTGCAATTATTTCTCTGCTAAACCTTGCTTACAGTGATTGCACATCCAAACATAAACTTCAATGACTGCATTTTCTAACCTAGATTGCAACTAAAGAACTCCTAAATTTTATTTGCTGTTATTGCACTTCCAAACCTTACAAGCAATGATTGGAGATCCAAACCAATTAATAACATTAATTGTTCCCATTTATCGAATTATAGAGTCAATGAAACGTCAGCTGTCACTTGATTTATAGAGATTTTATATTTAGCTTTTTTCAAATTGATAGAGAACTGGTAATAAAGTGAATCTAATTTTGCATTAAATTCAATTTACCAACTTTTGAGAATCAAAAGATTTTACACGTTGATTGTAATCAAGTCAGTCCTCTTGAAAGAGAACATTGCTTCATTTGAAAAACAGAACACTATCCCATATTGCCTCTAAACATTTTAAATTCCATAATTATTGAAAATTCTGCGTTTTTCGCTGTGTAGCTAGGCTGTTGATATATCGTGTTCATAACGTGATTATTTCAATGAATTTTATTCCCATTCTATGATTAGTTTCCTAGTGAACAAATAGCTTTTTCCATCTACCAAAGACCGAAGATCGATCGCTGAGTGAAACGAGAGACAAATAATTATTTCCATGAGTAAATTTTTCCCATTTAGTCTACGAATAAATTGCGTATGGAACAAAAAATAACAGATAATAGTTTTTTAATATATTTTAGTCGGTCATTAAGGATCAGTTTGAATGTGAAATGAAGGTATCATATTTTCGCTCGGTAGCGTCATCCGGCCGCCAAGTACAGTAACAATTAACGCTGCCGTCATGAAGGCAGGGTATAATAACATAACATAACATAACATAACAGAACATAACATAACATAACATAACATAACATGTGATGTCGGCGATGAAGAGTAAGCCTGATGAGGCCTGTTGCCGATTCTTGTACCTTTTCGTGACTTGTTCACAGAAGATCTAAAATCGTGTCCATTGACCGGATCTTTTCAAGACTGACGATGGTTTGAAATAACTACTAGACTTCCACCGGGTTCGATTTAGTCTTAGGCATTTCAAGTCTGAACATATATTTTTCCCTGGCTTTATCTAGTCTGTTCTTGAACACGTTCATACTCGGAGCCTACAAGGTTAGGCCATAAACTTTATGAGCTGATATCACCTGCAGTGTGAAGAGGACGAATTACACGCAGCTCTGAAATTTATGCTTACTCGGTATTAGTGAAGCGATGCTAAAGTTCTGGCATATGAAGATGTTAAAGTTCCAGCATATGAACAAATATGATTCTTTGCATGCATTCCTTTAAATTTGGTAATGTACCACAAATCTTTTACCCGATTCGGCGTTCATGCGATCATTACATGATCAAATAAAAAATATGTTCATGTTTCTAGTTGTTATTGTCGTACCTGTCACTATTCGTATCAGTGTTTTTCTTTTGATCCGGGCCTCCAAAGTTGATTTTTTTTCAACTGCCACTGAATCTTTGAAAAAGTATTTTAAAGAATGACTGTATTCATTTCCTGTTATTAAAAACATCTTCATTAATTATATTTTTTATTTTAATCTGAAATAAATTAATTCAAACTTATTTTATTCTCGGAGGCATTATAGGCATTCTTTATTTCTTGAATTTCAAACTTACATGCTGGAAAAATACTGATCGTTTTCTTCTGGAAATAAGCGCCATTAAAGACAGAATTTTTAAAATTTATCTATTGTATCTTGCCGACAGTATCAATTCTGAGCTACTCTGACCGCCTATTGGCAAAAGGGCAATTATAAATTCAAGGCGGCGCTAAAAAACAATGGTTTAGATTAAAACAACCATTGTAAATACAATGAAACTGTATTGGATGAAACAATCAGCGCTTACATGGGCAATATCAAATATGTAAAAACAAAAGAAACACATTTTTAAAGGCCGATCGTACAAAAGTTAGATTTTTTAAGAAATTTGAGGATATTTTAAGACAGGATATTTTTTAATATCAATCCTCATAAGTAGGTGGTTTAATTATACACACCACGTTCATCCATATGAAATCCTTAAATTAATGGATTCGGCTGGCACAGGGCAAAATGGAATGAAAAGAAAGATTTCCACTTTTAATTAGAGAGCATACAATAGCAAATTTATTTTGTAATGAGTCTAAAACATTACTTTCGGCCAGATTACGAATTAATTTCTAACATAAATTTCGCGACAATGTCAAGTAAAATTTTCGAGGGCAATTTCACTGTTGACCAAAAGCGAAACAATTAACGTCGGGGCTGAACCTGCGGACGGCTGGGGTCTGGAACAGCGAAGCCCCTTTGCTGAGATGGTCGAGGCAGGGGTTTGGTCTGGACTTTGGAAGGTCTAGGTAAGGGTTTGGTCTGAATTTCCGATGGTCTAGCGAGAAGCTTGGTCTGCCCTCTTGAAGGCCTTGGGAGTGGCTTGGTCTGAATTTCTGAAGGTCTAGGGAGAGGCTTGGTCTGAATTCTTGAAGGCCTAGGGAGAGGCTTGGTCTGAATTCCTGAAGGCCGAGGGAGAGGCTTGGTCTGAATTCCTGAAGGCCTAGGGAGAGGCTTGGTCTGAATTCCTGAAGGCCTAGGGAGAGGCTTGGTCTGAATTCCTGAANTATAGCGATATTGAAACAACTTCAGATGCAGGATTCATCATATCATCTGCGCAAACAGTAATCATCTCGTCAAACTTCGCAAAAAAACAGGATTCTGAATATTATAAAGTGGGACAAACAGGAATTAGCTCGAACATAAAAAATAGGAGCAGATTTGCTATTTTCAAGCAAATAGGATTAGTAAGCTAAATATTATTGGAACATACCGACGAGAAGTAATCCTAATTTAATGAAGTTAGCCATGATGACGAAGTTGAATTTTGTAGAGTGGCACGTACTACCTTGTGTCAAATATTCACTCGTACTGATAAACCGTTCGACAAAGCCCTATAATAAGGCTTACACCATTCGGGTATTTGCCCATGAATCACCTCACTATCATTCGTTCCTATCTCTTATCAGTCCCTGAAGTTAGTACCATCCATAGCACGTACGGCGCCAGCACTGATATCATGGTACCTAATAACTCGCGGCGAATGAAAGATTTTTTTTTCATCACTGAACAAATAACGCTAAGAACTGTAAATGACTAGACTGGACAAATTTTCTTGGATATAAAGTAGTTTTTGCGAAATTTGGTGACATCTTTGTGCTGCTGCCATTCATGGAAGTATTCGCTAGCAATTCACGGCGATTGTGGATTACTCGAATGTGTTGATTTCAAATTATATCCATTGAAAGTTTCAGCTTGGCTGATGGTAAGACGATATTTGAGGCAAGCATCGGGAAAACGAAACTTATAATTTTTCGTGAAGAAAATTTGCTTTTGGCACAAATCATAACAATATTTCCTTCTCGATAGCTCTTCAATCATTTATTTCCGTTAAGTTGATAATCAGAATAATAAGTTAAAATAAATCTTCAAACTGATTAACAAATGTACAGTTCTGCGCTAATCAGTAGTTCAGGGTAAAATGTCATTTATGTTATCTTTATTATCTACGGCTCATATGGGCCACACTACTGTATCTCATAGGGAATAATTATAAAGATATATTTTTACTCTCCAAGATTCTGTAGAATCTGTTCACTCTTTCAAAATTAATAACTTCTTATTCGAAATAAAACGTTATTCAAATAAACCGGATTACATCATCATGACAGAACTGATTTCAAGAATTTTCTAACTCTACATAGTAGAAGGTGTGTTTTTAGAGTGAGTACTCTTTCTAAATTACGCCGCTATAAAACGGATCCGAAGAAGAAGAAATTACGCCGCCGAACCGTTCCGGCCGCCGTTTAGAGCATACGTGCGCCGTGTAGCTACATATGATGGAAAGCCACAGATGCCATAATGGAATCATCGAATCTCGTCTACATCTGTCAACGGGATTTTAAATGCCTCGCCCCTATTGAGGATAACGACGACAGCAAAGTGCGTGCGTTTCTTAGTGCTCGAGGCTTCGCAAATCAATTGACATTCTTCGCCAAATCAGTGAAGTATACGGTGAAAACATTACA